TTTTTTACTATATATATATTAAGCCAGAAAGAATTAGGCTCTTTGATTCGAATAATGTTGGCAGCTTCTTTATTTAAAGTAACGTAATGGGGCTACAGTAATGAGATTTTTTTATATAATGCGCGTGTTTTTACAACAATTATTTGGAAAGTTTGAAGATGAAAATTTCCGTTTACAGTTTTTTGTGTGGACATCTTGTCTTGGCCTTTATAATTACAAGACTTAGTTATAAATTTGATACTGTTGAATCTCTCTCCATTATATATTGTATGTGCTGGTCACAAATGACTTATTTCTTGCAATTAGGTTGCGTAGTAGATTATCCTGAGGAAAATGATACTGATGTTGGTGTTGTTATTGTCACTGAATTTAGTCTTCAAACTCTAAGAGTTGATTTACTCAATGATATCCACATTGTACATTGTTTCAGTTTAATTTTGATGGTGGTTTCTTGCACATCAATGCTAGTTCGTTTTAGACTTAGTATTAGAATGAACGAAAGGAGTCGGCTTTGTTATAATCCTGTTTGGCGTGTAAGCCATATATTTTGTATTTCTGTCGATTTCATGTTAAAAATCTGCGCAAATTTGACATTGGTAATATTGACTTTTAACATTTTCATTCAATACGGTGTTCAAATGGGTTATATCTAGCAAATGCTATTTTTTGTGCTTTTTTTGCACACTAGTTAAAAAACAAAATAGATGAATTTGTATTGTTATCCAAGTGGAACGTATCGTTAAAGTTTGTACGAATACACTGCACTAAAAGTGGTTCAAAAGTGAATTAAAAGATTTGGTACAAACCCACAAACAGACGTTGCAAACTAAGTAAAAGTTGTAAAAAGCGTCTATTATCTGCTTAAATAGCATTTAAAACTGAACGATTATGAAAATTCGGTGTGAACCACAGCTAAACAGACAGATCGCATTATGACATCTAACTAGGTTACTCCCTTTTTGGTGTTGAATATATTAATCTTTAAATTGATATTTAAATACTAATTACGTACTATAATTAGATTTTTAAAAAAATATTAATGCATTGTCATCAAGAAAAGATATATGAAAAGTATGAATGATTATTGCTGCATTGGAAATGTGTTAAAATTGTGTGATAAGATTTTCTACAAACCCACCAACAAACAAACAGACGTTGCCATCTGATTAGACGTTTGTAAAAATAATTCAAATAAATATTTTAAAAAAGTTCAAAATGGTCTGAAAACAAGAAAATAAAAGAAACGTAATATCTATAATAATAGCAGTAATCGGTCTTGAAATCTCAACGATTTTTTGGTAGGGTATATTGCGAAGGGGGCGGCGTGGTCGAGTCGATAAAGCTAATGGTTGCTAAACCAAAAAGTCTCGAGTTCGACAGCCACTCTTCTAGGAGAGACAACTCCAAAATAAAACAACTGCTGCCATGTAGTTTGTTCTTGTTTGGACAAAAACTATGGGAGCAAATTAAAAGAGAAAAGCAGGCTGAAATCGGAGTCAATGGCCTCAATGTATAACCAGTTGACACGTATTCTAAATTGTGTTGGAGTAGTAGTCGAGTCGGCAAAGCTAATGGTTGTTAAATTTGAAAAAAGTATCGAGTTCAAACCCTCTAGGAGGTAAGGCTCGATCCCTTCCAATACTAAAAATTAAGAACAAATACGAAGAATAGATTGCGAAGTATTTGTGTACAAAATGCTTCAACTGAGACCGATATATTAAATGATCACATTCCTTTATTTCTTGAATTAATCTTTTTAAAATAAAGCCGATTCTTATTTTTTTCCGTAATTTTCAGTACATTAAAAAGCTTTTCATTATACATTTTTGTGTGTGTTTTATTTACTTCGACATTTTTATGGAAGTTTTTAAAAAATAAATAAATTTATTTTTAGCTTATATAATATTTTAAAATATTTAACCGAAAAGAAAAAAAAACAACTGTAATAATTACCCCCTTTAATAAACTCATGTAATCTTTTAAATTACCTGCGGTATTATTATCGGTGGCTCCAGAGAGCGCCACTCTACATCCCTGACACCTTGCCTCATCATAAGGGTTAGTGATTAACGTGCTCTCAAGGCTGCCATGGGGTAGTGTAGGTAAACCCATGCCCCGATAAATATGATCCAAGCGTAGGCATTGTTTACGTATAAATAACTCAGTTTTAGAAAAATAAGGACAAACGTCTAAGAATATAGGATAGTAACGCAGTGATGAAACACTCTTAAAATATTACGTCTTACTTTCTTCTATACCCGCGGCAACACGTGGGGACGGGCACGCTTGTTTAACTATAAAAATAAAACTCAGTAAGGACAGTTTGACAATATTTCTAACCCAAGTTACATGGAGAAGATCGAATCACAGAAAGGGAAGGTTATTATATTGGTCGAAAGCTACAGATATCGAAAGGACAGAGCAAATGCTGATGGAAGTACGACATGAAGATGCTGCAAGAAAGATGGCTGACGAGGACGGATGAACATGCTGAACGATGTTGTTCTGTCATCATCAGAACACAATCACGATCTTGATCCGGGTAAAATTGAAGCAGTGAAAGTTGTTTCGACTATACGAACACGGGCAGTGGAAGGGGTGGAAAAACCAAGGCAGATTATACAACAAGCCAGAGAAGGAATTTCGATGGAAGTAGCACCTCATTTGCCGGCATACGTCGCTTCACAACGTGCAATAGAAAGACAGAGAAAACGCAGCTGCCATACCCAAATCCACAGAACGTTGCAGAGATAACAATTCCTGAACCTCTTCAAACGACAACCAGAAGCTTCAAAGAACAATTATGTTCAGCTGAACCGAAGATTGCAGGCGATTGCTTCAACCTATGCTAGTGATTCAATGATGGACTACCTACGGGGTATAGCCCACAACTTAGCAATATAAATGCAACTATAAAGAAACGTTTTATTAATTTGAACTGATGTTCATTTTGTTACATTTCATTTCAGTTTATATTCTCACTTTAGGCCTATCATTTAAAATCTTTGTATGTGTTATTAGATTGCGTTTTGAATAATTGTACCAGTTTTTTAGTTAAAGAAAATAAACAATTAGTTTTTTAATGAAACAATAAAGTGTTAACACCAAACGATGCCTTCTGATCTGAGTTAATTTTCTTGTTTTTATTTATTAAATATGGTTTTTCGATTTTTAGTTTGCGCTCTTATGTCGGCGCTCTTTTGTCGGGAAATTAGTGCGCTCTTATGTCGGCGCTCTTATGTCGGCGCTCTTTTGTCTGCGCTCTTATGTCGGCACTCTTTTGTCGTGCGCTCTTTTGACGGGGTGCCTCTTACTTTATAGCTATGTGATTAAAAACAATCGGTGTAATATCAATACAATGCTCTCGCATGGTTAGTAATTGTGTAAGCTTAGAAAGTTCGACCTAAGGTCGTTGTCATTTTATGAACCGGAATTGTTTTTGTTTTTTTAAGTTTTCTAATATAAGAATAGAAAAAAATTCTAGATTTGTGAGAGCAAAAATGTTAAACCGAGTACATCGAGAGTCTGTGCCAGGGAGACAATGTACGTTATACACTGACATACTAATGTTACATATATATATATATATATATATATATATATATATATATATATATATATATATATATATATATATATATATATATATATATATATATATATATAATTTTATGTGAATATGCTGATATGTATCTAATATAAGGCTGGTGGTAGTGTGTTAGTCAATTCTTCCTTCCGTTATTGCTATAGGTTTTGGAACCATAAAAGTTAACTAAATGATGGCTTGCATTTTGCTTGCATCGCAGGGCCATATTATAAATAGTTAGTCGGGTTTATTTATATAACGACTTAAATGTTTGTGTATAGTAGCCGCTGTTTTTACTCTTTCGTATAACGTGAAGAAAATATTAAATACAAGCATATTGCCAAAACATATTGAACCGATCAATGTCAAAGTATATTTTCTCTTAGATTCGTAGAAAAAATGTCTACATTTTAATAATAGTTGGGTAAAAAAATAATTTCTTAAAATACTCAATAATTTTGCCTTGGGAGATGATTTGAAAAGATTCAATTCACGCTAATTAAAACAAACAATTTAAATGATAATTCCGCGGAAGTCCAAAAAGACATTATTGTTGGAATATTATAATTTGCATTGATTGATAAAGTTTTGTTTTGTTCCATAGTTGGTACATTTTGAAAGATTCACGGCGGTGGAGCACAAATATGCAGCTAGTATAAATATATACCTACATATAATTATATATATATATATATATATATATATATATATATATATATATATATATATATATATATATATATATATATATATATATAAATTAATATATATACCAATATTTAGAGAGATAGACACAGAGAGCAACAGAGAGAGGAAACAGATTTTTTTAAAAGTAGATTTTAGTAAAGAAGTAATTTCCTTCTTGTATTAACAGGAAATGGATATTTCTATTTAAAGTAAAGAGACAAGAATCTATAAATGTATTTTCATTTTAATGATGGACCTAGCTTCTTTCAAATCGCAGATTACAGTTTTTATTGACCTATTATAGTTCTATCTTTTCAATTATAATTTGAATGTGTTGGTCTCAGCTGACTTGATCATTGCAAGCCTGTATTATACTGGATCACCATGCCGCAGCAAATTATACTTTTACGCAATTATTTATTGAGTCTAAGTTTCGTATTCAAACCTTGAGAGGGTATCTATTCTATGATATTACCATTCAAAACTGCTCCATTTTTATTTTGATTGTCACTATTCTTAGACTGCCACGTATTTGTTATAGACTTAGTATATACAATTTATTTTAACAAAACACCACATTAAATGCCCCAAAATTATTGATATTAATTTAATATCGAAGATTATCTGTTAATAAAAAAATATTATTGAAATCTTAATAACAAGGAAAAATTGATAAAAAGGCAGTTTCCATAATAATTGAAAAATAAGAAGCGCTGGATTTGCCATTTTTAATTGTCAAAATAATTTTGAAATACAAAAGTAAATTTATTCAAATATGTGACTTTATGGGAACTCTTGCATGAGTGTAAACATCCATTCTGCATGTTCCTTTCTAAAATTGTCCATTCTGGAACATTGTCTTTGTGGCAAAAGTCTTGTTTTAAGTTCACTGTTTAGATATACATACGATAAATAAACTGGTGAGAAAAAGATAAAAAAAAAAATATCACGCTCTTTTGCTTTGTAAACTAAACATCAATAACTACATACCGTGTGTATGTTTTTCACTGATGTTGATTGAGTATTATAGGGCAAAACTATTCTGTTGGGTAGTTTTTGTCTTAAAATCAATATTTAATTTGTAATTTTAATTAACGCGCGATTTGAAAAAAATACTCTTAAGTTAAATAGATTTAATACAAGACATTAGATATTAATTAAGATGAAAAATAATTTTTAATCGTTTTTTTGTCCGTGTGTCTGTCTGTCCGTCTATCATTCTGTCCTTGTCTTCAAGTCTCAATGTATCCGTCTATCCGTCTGTTTATCTGTCCGTAGCAAGCTACCCATATGACCTAGGTACAGTCTGAGTTGTCCTGAATACTTAAACACGGGATCCAAACTAGAGTATTTCGTGTTAACAACAATGTGCTCTACCCCATGACCACCCGATGAGTTGTAATGAGAGGGTGAATTGATTGAGTGTTATTTGCAAAAAATGATTTTTTTTTCGACAATTATCCGACAGACTGAGCGTGTTGTCTATTTATAGCTGCATACAAACACGCTGTTAAATATTATAAACGTCTATGATATTTGGATATTATTTAGTGGCCTTTTTTAACGTTTGGCGTAAGTTAATCAATATTTATGTCAAGATGGTGAAATACATTAAAGTTAATGCCAAATTTTTAATGTCGAATTCGTTAATGGTCATGTGAATTCATCAGTAGCCGCAATCTCTAGAATGAGTGATGCATTTTGTTTTTACAACAGAGCCGATAAAAATAAAATGAATCTCAGATTAAATTAACATGACCCAAAAAGGAAATGCATGTAATCATTAAAATAAAATCCCATACATTATAAAGTGACTTGTAATCAACAAATTAAAACAACGTTATATTATGTAAAACTAACAGCACACTAGCGCTATTGAAATAAGAACACAAGCTATTCTTTATTATCCTTATCTACTTGTTACCAACATGATACGTAACAAGTCACCGACCTTAAAAAACCCATACTAATGCAGATTAATATATTGACGTTATGCATATATCCAAAAACATAATCTACAGAAATATTATGTATTTATAAATCTCCTTTCCACATTAACAATGTTTTAACGTCTCAACTAAATTTCCATTTTCAATTACTGACATGGTTTTGTAGCTTGAATTGTCTAAAATATAATAACTGTACATTTATTTCATTCAAAAAAGTAGGAAAACTGCATTTGTCTTTTATAATGTGGTTAAGCATAATCATAATAATAACCGTGATTACACCGACATGAAGCTTACATGATCAACACCACTTTGCCTTATATTGTACTCAACATAACACGTCACCATCCCAACAGATGCACTTGAAGTTGTATGTCGTCCCGTGAATCAGATGGACACCTCGATAACGACACGATTTTCCTAGAGCAGATTAAACAAGGTCGAGTTCTATAGAACATGAAATGCACATGTTTTTTTTAGACGAGTGTGTGAGTAGAACAGCAAAGTGTTATCTAGAGATACAAACTATTAAATTTAAAAAAAAAAATACTCACCGAAAGGTCTGTGGTCAAATTTGCTAGGTAGCGAGCCTGTATCGTACACACATGTGCTCAACACTGTCAGAAGAAGAAGAAATTTCAAGCACATCTTAGTTTCTCTCACGAGAGCCGTTTAGAACAACAACAGGGTTTTCGTTGGTGTAGTGATAGTCACGTGACCAGATCTCGAGCTCTGGTTGATGAAGTGTGTGTGTGTGTTTGTGCTGTGAGTCTCGTGTTGGCAACACGGGATGCGTTGTGTGTGTTTGATTTGCGGTTGTGGTTTATAGGCTGTGTGGAACATGTGTTCAACTTGAAATTAAATATTTAAATAACTGATCATAGGCAGATGTACGGTGGGGATTGATAAGTGTAAGGGGCTGGGGAGTTATTTAATTATTATTTTATTACAAAAAGGTGAATGTCACTTTTTGTGTTCCTTTGAGAATTGTTGTGGTTTTTAGTTAAGTAGTCCGCTATTATGGCGCTGATATGATTTTTATTTTAAAATGATTGATAGCCTGGTTATTGTGTCTTGCTTATATTTTGATGTTATTATTTATGCAAACTTTGTTTTGGAGTGTGGCTCCACTTTGCTTTATATCCTGAATGTAAGTTATTGTTGTATTTGGGACTATTTTCTTGTGCGTAGCATTGGTTTCTTTGTTCGTAGTATTGGTTTCTTTGTTCGTGAATGTGGGGTGTTGACAGGGAGGGACATTCTGCTGGAATGTCGAGGCCTGTGTGTTGAAGAGTTTCTGTGTCACGTTTGTGGTGTATGGTAACGTAGGGTTATTTTTATAGTGTTTTATTATGTTTTCCATATTTTTGTTTGCTTATTTTGTATACAAGGTGACTATATACTAGATCTATTTAGTCACTTCGACTTTGAGAAGTCTCAATGTTTGTTTTATCCAGACCACGTGGTAGCACGATGGCCTGGGTTTAGTCATGGATTATTGTAGATTTTACTTTCATTTATGAGAGCCTCTTGTTTAGGCTGACAATTGTGTCAGCTTACTGCCTTGTGTATAACTTTTTGTACATTTTGTATTGATTTATTTGTTTTCCTTTTTCTAGGACGAAGTCCGAAATTGGGTGTTTTGTTTGATGTAAAAAGTTTGTTTCGTTTGGTTCTGTTTTGTGTCAGTTTTTACCTATTCTTTTTTTATAACTTTTGGTTCCATATTTTGTTGAATAAATTTTATGCTAGTCATTCTTGGTAAATAAATTTTATTAACTGTAAAAGTTTTTGTTTTATTTTAGTAGCTTATTATTTAGACTAAGGTTAGGGTTTAACCACTGTGGGTTCTACCACGGTTGCACTGACCGGACAGATTAGTTAGTTAAGCCTAGAAGGGTAGATTTTAGGTATCCCCCCTAGCAGGGCTTACAAATTGGTAGCACGAGTGGGGTCAGTGCTTTAGTCTAGCTAAATTTTTGTTTTTCTGTTAGAGCTAGTGTAGCTTAGATAAATTTTTGTTTTTGATAGGCCCTTTATGGAACCATTTGTGTTTAGTTTTTGTTTAGTGTAGGAACCGTTTTTCTGTTTAAAACGCCCAATTCGGACGAGATGGCGGGGCACCCCATGAACATCATTATTGTGCCACCCAGAGAGGTTAAAATCCACAGGTTCCATGGAGACAGCCATGCCTCGTTGGTGGAACGTTTCATTGAAGAGGTGCAGGTTGCATGGAGGGCGAGGAAAGACCTCTCTGCTGAAGAAAGAAAAGACCTCCTCTGGGAGCACCTTGGGGAGTCTGTTAAAGAGGAGCTCCGATGTAGGGGCAACGATCTGGAGCAGGACCCAGAGGCAACTTTAATACTCCTGAGGGACATTTACGGGGAAAAGCGTACCATCCCCCAACTAATGGCCCAGTTTCAAAGGGTGGTGCAAAGCCCAAACGAGACAGTGAGGTCTTATTCCCACCGTCTGCACCAAGCCTTTAGGGAGCTTACAGCCAGGCAAACAAACCTGCACAGGGCCCCGGTGAGTCCAGTCTTCCTGCGAGACCAGTTTGTTCAGAATCTCAACAACCCTCTGTTAGGCGTCAGCTGGAAGAAATGGTCTTCTGTGACCAAAAGGCGTCATTTATTGTCCTGAGGGATGCGGTTATCAGGTGGGCACAGGACGAATGCCCAGGCAGAAAATCTAAGAGTGTTACAACTCTAAACACCAGGCCTGATGTGCAAACATTTGCACCTCCCACTACATCCAACCTGGAGGACAGAGTAGACAATTTGGCAGCACAAATGTCTAGTATTTCTGCTCTCGTTTCCCCAAGGGGAACGCGGTTTGCACCCGACAAGCAGAGACCGACTGTGAGGACCAGGTCCTGCTTCAAATGTCACCAGCTGGACCACATAGCCCGTAACTGTTATGGCAACATAATAATGTGTCCTGCTTTTAATCTGCTCACCTATTTTTTAACATTGTTCTGTTCACATTTCTGGTATCTGCATTTTTGAATTTGTATTGCTTGCAGGTACTGCAAGCTTTACAGGGGGTGAATGTAAGGGGCTGGGGAGTTATTTAATTATTATTTTATTACAAAAAGGTGAATGTCACTTTTTGTGTTCCTTTGAGAATTGTTGTGGTTTTTAGTTAAGTAGTCCGCTATTATGGCGCTGATATGATTTTTATTTTAAAATGATTGATAGCCTGGTTATTGTGTCTTGCTTATATTTTGATGTTATTATTTATGCAAACTTTGTTTTGGAGTGTGGCTCCACTTTGCTTTATATCCTGAATGTAAGTTATTGTTGTATTAGGGACTATTTTCTTGTGCGTAGCATTAGTTTCTTTGTTCGTAGTATTGGTTTCTTTGTTCGTGAATGTGGGGTGTCGACAGGGAGGGACATTCTGCTGGAATGTCGAGGCCTGTGTGTTGAAGAGTTTCTGTGTCACGTTTGTGGTGTATGGTAACGTAGGGTTATTTTTATAGTGTTTTATTATGTTTTCCATATTTTTGTTTGCTTATTTTGTATACAAGGTGACTATATACTAGATCTATTTAGTCACTTCGACTTTGAGAAGTCTCAATGTTTGTTTTATCCAGACCACGTGGTAGCACGATGGCCTGGGTTTAGTCATGGATTATTGTAGATTTTACTTTCATTTATGAGAGCCTCTTGTTTAGGCTGACAATTGTGTCAGCTTACTGCCTTGTGTATAACTTTTTGTACATTTTGTATTGATTTATTTGTTTTCCTTTTTCTAGGACGAAGTCCGAAATTGGGTGTTTTGTTTGATGTAAAAAGTTTGTTTCGTTTGGTTCTGTTTTGTGTCAGTTTTTACCTATTCTTTTTTTATAACTTTTGGTTCCATATTTTGTTGAATAAATTTTATGCTAGTCATTCTTGGTAAATAAATTTTATTAACTGTAAAAGTTTTTGTTTTATTTTAGTAGCTTATTATTTAGACTAAGGTTAGGGTTTAACCACTGTGGGTTCTACCACGGTTGCACTGACCGGACAGATTAGTTAGTTAAGCCTAGAAGGGTAGATTTTAGGTATCCCCCCTAGCAGGGCTTACATAAGTATCTATATACCTATCTTTTTTATATATATCTTCTCTCTATCCATCTTTATATATATATATATATATATATATATATATATATATATATATATATATATATATATATATCAGTAATTTTATTTATTCTAAAAATGTACAAAATATGCAAACAAATGTTTAAACCTGAAATAGGACTATATCTTTGTCGTTTTATTTCTCAATTTTTGTATATATACCATCCCCGCCCAAGCCAAGTTCCCCCAACATACCCTTGGTTGAGAGGTGATTACTTTACCGTGTGGCAGTTGGTATAGCCATTAAAGGTCGCCTCTTATTACAATCCAAACAATAAAACAATTTATTTTAAGAAATCGGATTTTAAAACAGTCTTTTGTGTTTTTCATCAGTTTGTACTATTTCAAAGCAATTGCACTATCAAATCGATACATGGGGATTACATCTATTATAAAATCCTTTTTTGTGATTATACATGAAATATAAATTTTATTTAATCAATGTGCGCATTCAAGAGTCGATAATAGTCTTACAAAGTTAATTCAATTTTACGTGCGAATTTCGAACAATGCGAATCTCTGCATCGGCTTATGCAGTGGTTGAACGGTTAATCGCAAGGCGGTCATGATTTAGGAGCCGGTATTAAGACGTCAATAATTGCTCGTTATCTGACGTGTGCCTTATTTTAGTTGACCACATTATTCATTTCTAGGCCGAGGAAACAGAAACCGATGAACTTTACTTTATATTCTTTATTCAACGGTAATTGTTTTGCTCTGCATTATGAGAACGAAAAAGATATTGATCAAAAATATTTAATGATACGGTGGGTAAAACATCACGGTCTTCTATTAGTAGTGTTTATGTAAAAAACAACATCGAGCCTAACATAACAAATACCCATATAATAGTTAAGTGACTAACAGTGTATAAAACGCAAGGGACGTTTTAAAATGTTTGCTAATAATATGCCTTACAATGAATTAGTTAATAATCTCTAAATTTGCTAAGTCGAGTTTACCATGATTTATGAGATTTGATCAAATTTCATTCAACTTTGTTGCGTAGACTATTTATTTGGTAATTTTCATTATTTAATTCTTATCGAAAAACGGGTTATTTTTTTAAATATATAAACATAATTTTGCTTTAATACAAGTTATATAATAAAAATACAATAAATACAAAGTTATTAAAAGAAGACTAGGGGAACAAACTCAGTATATGAATTAACGGATCGTATTATTAGAGTAGCTGCCCTTGGAAACAAAAAAAAATACGAATCCTATTGTTTTGTGTTATTTACCCAAGCAACCTACTAAAATATTTAATTGTTAATATATCTTTTCATTGGAGAAATGCAATGCAGTTTTTTTATATTTATTAAAATTTCTCTCAAAACATATGAAGCAGTTAATCTAACGATTGAAGAATTGCAAACAATAGCCTTTGATTAATTCCTTCTGATTATAAAAAAAGAACTGGCTATAACTCAGGAACATTGTATAACAATGTGAAATTTTTGGAGGGTTATGTCGGTATGTAGGCATGCGGCTCGTTGACTAGAAGAAAACAAACACATGATATTTTGGGTACAATTTATTGGGAAAAAAAATATAATCCAAAAAAAAAAAATGCTACAAAGGCTAACATATTCCCTAATAAAAAAGCATGTACAAATGATTTAATAAGGAAATCCACAGTACAAAGATTCCTTTCATAAATAGGCGAGGTCTACTACACTTATTCTGAGATATTTGGGGAGATCGTGTTACAGTATCTGTAGTAAAGACTCCATAAAACAAAATATTAGTGGACACAGTAACAAAGCTACAAAAGCGATGTTCCCAACTACAAGTTGTAAACATTTTTAAAAATTATTGCCATTATGATTAAAACATCTAGAATATAAAAAGAACTTTAGATAAGCTTTTCTTATATTAAAATATATACACATGTGAATATATACGTAAAAAATTACATTTATTTTTTAAAATAACATATTTCTAAGTTGACCACTAATAACATTCTAACTCTAACTTTTGAGTGATTGTTTAATATTCGATTCCGCTTTTAGTTTTCATATGTTTAATTTTGTTTCCCTATTGATATATCGATAAGATGTAAATTATATCTAAAATAAAACGGTAATAGTCTAATAAGTCTATTATATAAAGTTCATTTCTGTATGTAACATGTTTGTAAAGTGTAAAATGTTTGTCGTGGATACTTCGATGGATTTAAGTGTTAGATTATTATAGTGCTCATGGTCTAAATTTATGAGTTAAAAAATTACTATTGAAAGTCTTTAAAAGCAATTTTCATTTTATATACTTAGAACAATAATTTTTAATTATGAAAACCACATAAAATTTTTAAAAACTGTATCAACGTTTATAAAATTTCTAAAATTGTGTCTGAAATGTAATGACTGCACAGTTACTTCCCTTTAAAAAACCATTAAATCGGGGGAAGAAAGAATTTACTTTTTATTACTTTGTTTTGGTGTTAAGAAAAAAAAAATTACATAATTAGCGGGGATTGATCAAGTGCAATGTCGTTGGTATTTTTAATACTGCCTTTTATTTATTCTATACACTGAACATACTGTTCACTAATTATTTTTTTTTTAAATCAATAACATTTAATAAGCCAGGTCCTACAAATCCTATATGCTTATTTCTTTCCATTTACGGATAAGCTTGAAGTATTATAATTTCGTTCACTAAATTAAAACAGGCGCGTCCGCCGGCGCCCCTGCACGGTTCGATTTGGCGCCCTGGGCTATCATGTGAGCGCTATGCTGCATAATTTTGTTTTAAACAGTGCGATAGACTATGGGTAAGAAAGGTTACTATAGTCTTTAAGTAAATCAAATCCGGGTGTCTTCCGGCACCCCGACAGGGTGCTATTTGGCGCCCCGGGCCTTCCCGTGTACGCTTTGGTACCTACGTTTGCGTAAGTGAGTTCAAAAGACTATGAATAAGTTGGGTACTATAGCCATTTACTAAGTTAAATCGGGCGGTTACGCCGCATGTCGTCATGGTGCGATTTGGCGCCCAGGGCTAGACTGTGGACACTTTGAGTTTATCTTTGCGTTTGTGTTTTCTTTGTGTTTGAGTTTGGGTTTGCGTTTGTCGTTGTGTTTGCGTTTGAATTTGGGTTTGGGTTTGTTTTCTTTTGCTTTTTTTTCTTTGCGTTTGTGTTTTCTTTGTGTTTGTGATTGTGTTGGTGTTTGCGTTTGTTTTTGTGTTCGTGTTTGTGTTTGTATTTTTGTTTGCGTTATGTTTGCGTTGTTTTTTTTTTTGGTGTGTTTTGGTTTTGTTTGGTTGTTGGTGGGTTTGCGTTTGGATTTGTATTTGTTTTCGTTTGCTTTTTTGTTTGCGTTAGTGTTTGTGTTTTCTTTGTGTTTGTGGTTGGGTTTGTCTTTGTCTTTGCGTTTGTTTTTGTGTTTTCGTTTGTGTTTATTTTGTGTTAGTGTTATTTTTGCGTTTTTTGTGTGTTTTGGTTGGTTGTGGTTAGGGTGGGCAATGCCTGATAACAGCTAATTACTAAACACACAAGTTATGGTCCTTTACAGATATGTTTTTCAGAGATGCCAGTGCAGGGCCTGGCCGGGACGGCTAGTATTTATTAAAATAAACGAATGCGTAATATAATTGTCAATAAGTTTATCAAGGTTATCAATAATTAAAATTGATCGAACTATTGCATAATTTAATTTCAATCTATTGTAAGAATCTGTGTAGAGCTTTGGCTTTGCAAAAAAAAATTGAAATAAGAAAGCTTAAATTTAAACATCAAGAAAGTTTAATTTTAAACATTAAGAAATAAAATGAACAGAAATGTTCTCGTTAGAGTAGTTGGACTGGCTTAGTTTAGCATCGCTTACATTTTCCATCTTCTCTTAACATAGATACTCAAAGAAATTTTGAAAAAAAAAACTTACGAAAATAAATCATGGGCGTTTAAAAGGTCATTTAAATGATGTGGAAGAGTTTGTCTACCTTGGCAGCAAGATCAACAAAGCGGGAGGAGCTGAGGAGGACAGAACTAATAGAACCCGCTGCGCTTTCACAGTTCTGCGAACCATATAAACAGAGGCGTAGCGACCCTTCCCTGCGCCCGGGGACAAACTTTCGAATTGCACCCCTCCTCAGACTTTCGATTTGCACCCCCCCCCCGTTTCAAACTTTCGATTTGCACCCCCCCCCCCTTTCAAACTTTTGATTTGCACCCCCTCTCAAACTTTCAATTTGTTTTTCCAACCCATTTTGGCGCCCCGTAAGGTCGGCGCCCGGGACATATGTCCCCCCACCGCCCCCCCCCCCCCCTCGCCACGCCTCTGCATATGAAAAATATCTGCCATCTCAATTAAAACAAAAATTAGGATACTTAACTCGATTGTCAAGGCAGTTCTGCTGTATGTATCAGAGACATGGAGAGTCTCCAAGGCAAGCACAGTAAAGATGCAGACCATCATAAACAGATGCCTTAGACAGATTTTGAAATTGAGATGGCAGGAGAAAGTGCCTAACATAGAGTTGTTTAAAAAGTAGGCAGGCGCCTATGACAGTGCAAATAAGAAGGAGGATCTGGCGCTAAGAAAGGTTTTCCCAAATGTGACACGCCAAGCGCTTGAGTGGAATCCCCAGGGAAAGTTGAAGAGAGGGTGCCCAAGAGATACCTGGAGGCGAAGTCTTTTCGAAGAACTGAAGCCAACAGGGATGTCTTGGGAGACGGCAAAATTAATAGCCGGTGATCGGATGAAATGGAAGGAAAAGGTGGAGACCATAAGGAGCAAAGGGGACTTAGTCGGGTTTAAAAGGTCAAGAGAGTTAACTAACATCTGTTTGAGTTACTAAAAGTATTATTGGTTTAAAGGAAAATACTGATTGAAAGGAATTTCGCCTAGATTTATTAAATGATAATTTGACTTAGTTTTCATAAACACAAAAACAATTAGATATAAGGTGATAACTCCAGCATGTATTTACTCAAGGGGTCATGAACAGAACAACATTAACATTAGTATTTCTCTCCTATATTTTACTTTCGGGTGGGGATGGGTGAAGAAAGTGCAGGTGCACATTTTAGAGACGGGAGGGGGGATGCAACTTAAATTTCCGAGTCGGACACTGGTCGGAGTAAATAATTTTTAAATTAACTATCTTTCCTGAGGGCAGGGGTAGATTTGTGTCAAAGATGAGAGAAGCTGAACAGTGGACAGAAAAAAAAAACTCTGATTGGTAAAATGCAAGCAGAGGTCTCTAGGATTAGATAGGCCTGATTCTCATCTCCACAAAACGAATGTGAGTGTACCACGAGCCAACAGAAGATCCCCAGCTAATGGACTTGTAGGGATCCGTTGTGTTCCAGAGGGCGTTTAAATTAATCAAGTAGCAGTTGTTGTACCACCAAGCTCCTCCGTACAGCACAGCGCAGCTACCGTCCGGTTTGTTGTCGTTGTCTGTGTCTGCCGTGCTAAACTTGCAGTTGTTGTGGTTGTACGTGTAGTCGGTAGCGTCCCCAGAGTACCCTCCGATCTGCAGCCTGTAGCCATCGCTCTCGTTACCAACACGGAATGTAGTGTACCTGGCGTAGTAGCTCTTCCCGTTATAGATGAAGTCTATTCTTAGCTCATGCGGTTTTCCGGTCGTCAGTACATGTAGTTTCTCATTACCCAGGTAGTATTCACCGATGTTGTAATCGCCGAAACCGTTTTTGTAGCTGTTCCAGCCTAGGTTGAAGTCGACGGTTCCGGAGATTCTTCGCTGGAAAACAAGCCATCCTCCGTTGTCGGTGATGGTGTCGCACATGACGTCAATGCCGGCGTCTAGCGAGACCAGCTGCCTGGCGTAGTTGTTGTCCACACGTTTGCAGGATGGGAATGGCGTCGATGGTGGGGTGGTTGAAATGCTAACTTAAAAAAAAAATAAAACAATGATGATAATTGATGCACTTTTAACTTTCTCGTAAATCAAGTGTAGAGGAAGTATTGTAAATTGTGCAAAAATTTGAAATCCAGATTTTCACAGAAAAATTAAGGTTTTAACCCCTCCCCCACCCTGTCTGGGCTTACTTAATATATATATATATATATATATATATATATATATATATATATATATATATATATATATATATATATAAGAGAGTTATCAATATTAATTAGAATGCAATAGTTTGTACTTTTACAAGCCAGTTGATCTGTTGGCGTCAGTTGTCCTTTACGTTGTTGGAGGAACGTTTTTGATAGGTTACAGGAGATTCCACTGGAGTAGAGTTTTCCCGGAGTGGAGTTTAAAGATTGATCTACTGGCACCAGGATCGATCCTGTTGAATGTAGACAATGCTAATCGATGTATGCGGACATTTATCCTTTTGAAGTTTTTTGTCATCTTAGTACTTAGTTCTTTTTCGAAATATAAATTTATAAACCAAATGCTTAATGTACTGTAGAGTTTTTATTATATATATACATATATATATAGGCCTATATATATAGACATGGTTCCATGATAAATGATTTCAGGACAAATGATCTCAGACAAAATATCTCAGACAAAATATCTCACGGACAAATGATCTCATGACAAATGATCTCACAAACAAAAGATACCAGGACAAAATATATCAGGACAAATGATACCATGGACAAATGATCTCAGACAAAATATCTCATACAAAATATCTCACAGCAAAATTTTAATAGTATGTTCGATTATTTAAGTTGAATTGAACTTTTTTTTAATTGCCTGTCAATATGGTTTAATTTACTTTTTTACGGAGAAAAATTGTGAATACAGTAAATTTGTTAAGCTTAACAAAGCATCACAAGATTTATTAAGCTTAACCTTTGTAATAGCATTTGTGTGAAAAAGTAAAAATTAAAACAAAATTACTCCTTTAGCCTGAAAGGTAAAATAAACTATAATGTATAAAACAAATAAAGTAACGGTAGATATACACCATTAATGTTAAAAAACACGCGAAATATTTTTTTTTAATGTGAATAGGTCTTCATTTTCATAACATAAAACTATTGTTTTTATTGGATCACCAACACAGACATAACGTTTACGTTTCTTTGTTGGCAGGTATGATCACACCACTCCAATACTATGTGAACTTTTGCGCGATATTTCTAACTGCACATTTCCAAATCTCTTTGCCTGCTGCTACACTTATGGCTTTTATAAATTCCCCAGATAACGAAAGAGGCCATAGCTGAGTAATATTTGTAATTAGCGATGACCGCTGTCGTTTAAATAAGCATTTGTCACCTGATCACTAAGGTGTGACCGACGCATAACTATTGACTTTAGATTTTAGTTGTATTGTCCACGGAGGGCGGATGTCTTTCTTAAGGCATGTCTCTGCCATCAAAGCAGGCGGCCACCTTGATACGAATGAGTGTCGTTATTGTTATTTAATTCCCTTTTGATCTAGTTTCATCCACCTGACATGGTAGGATTGTCACATATTTGGCAAGCCCACCTACTCTGTCTATTGAAAAATTTCTTTAATCTTCGCATACTAAATTAGTAATCTCAATTTTAAAATCTTTAGTGCAATATGACAAATGTATACGGCTAACATTTCTCACAATTAGTACATAGACCTATAAACAATATTAAACATAATAAACAAAACAGTCTATAACAAAAAAATTCAGATCAACTATCAATTACACTATTAAAATTTTGCTGTGAGATATTTTGTCTGAGATATTTTGTCTGAGATCAATTGTCCATGGTATCATTTGTCCTGATATATTTTGTCCTGGTATGTTTTGTCCGTGAGATCATTTGTCCTTGAGATCATTTGTCCTAAGATCATTTGTCCGTGAGATATTTTGTCTGTGATATTTTGTCTGAGATCATTTGTCCTGAGATCATTTGTCCTGTCACCATATACATATATGTATATATATATATATATATATATATATATATATATATATATATATATATATATATATATATATATATATATGTGTATGTCACCTGGCCTACCTAAGCTGCAGGTTTTGGTATTGGAGTCATAAAGTATACTGAAGCACGTGCTGTTGGACCTTGAACAGAGTGAGGAGCACTGGACCAGACTGGTGACGCTCTGTGTTTGATTCAGTGGCCACATCATTACATCATCTCTGTTCTGTGCGTGAAGTTGTTGCTGTAGTACCACCGAGCTGGCGTCTGTGGACACAATAGGCTGTGTTCTTGTAGAAGTGTTTAAAGGAAGATTTTGTGTGTAAAGATTTTGGAAATAAACCGGGAGTGATCTCCCCTAATTTTTCTCGAATATTCTTATTTAATACAACAGGGGATAGCAACTCGGGATATAGACATGATTTTTAATTACTAAAACTTTTTAAAATAGAATAATATCGCGTAGAAAAAAAAAAGAATTACACACCAAGTGAACGCCAAATATAATGTACATAATAATAAAAATTTGCGGAATATTATTAGTATTTTGTAAATTCTCATGCGTAGAAAAAGTTCTACTTTCGTTTATCGGAAATCGCTCAAAGGGTGCTACGGTTCTACAAATTTGTATAATACTTGTATATAAAATGCCATCAACCCAGCTGTAACATTATTAATATTATATGTTTACAGACACACACAGACACACACACACATAAACACATAGACACATAGACAAACAAACAAACGGACAAGATTGCAAAACTATGTTTTTCCGACTCAAGGATGTGTAAAAAGTCGAGATTTGCAACAATCTCGATTTATTTATGCACGATTACAAAAAATTCTCTATACTTCATATATACGAGAAAGTAAAAAGCCATTATTTTAATTGTACTTTGATGACCCCCCCCCCCCCCCCCCTAACAATCCATCTTCTATAGCACTCTTTCCCCCGTTACCAAGGTAGTATTCACCGATGTTGTAGTCCCCGAATCCGTTTTTGTAGCTGTTCAAATCAAAACAGCGCAAAATCTAGCACCAGCAATCGCCTTAAGAAGTCTCGTAAAAGTTAACAAAGTAAAACTGGTATGGGGAACCGTTAGAGGGGAACATTAATTGGGGCATGACATCATTACATCCATAAGTCCCTTTTCTGCTAGAGTTAGCTTGATTTAGAGAGAGTTGAATAGTATTTCAATGTTTTGTCGACAGAACCCAATGACTGAATCTTTTCAGTGGCCATTATTATTATTCTGGTTTGTTATAATTTTAATATCACGTGCTGGTGAATTTACAGCATGACTAAATTAGTATGTTCAATGGATTTGAATACTTCAGTTAGTGTAATTCTAAAAATCTTAGAAATAAAATGTAACGTTTGTGCAACAATGTACATGGGGCCATTCGTTGCTATGGGACGCTTGTTGTACACTTGATATAATGAAGTAGTTAAAAAAAATTGTTACTCTTAAATTTTTATCAGATAGAAATATGGTACTGCCACAAGTTTCAAATGTATTTTGCAATTAAAATGTTAAAATTTAAGAAGATATGCACTTTCCTGTACGCGTGTTTTCTTTTTTTCCGCCATTTTGATAAGTCTAGCAAAACCGGCATAATAACCTTTTTCTCAATTATTTTTTTTTTGGTCACAAAACACACACAAATTCAATAGTCTAACCGTTTTAAAATACAATAAAACATAATGAATGTTTTAAATAGTTTTTAATAAATTTTAGCAGTATTTTTTTACAAGCGTCCTATAAGTGAGATGCTAGCAGGATATGGGCTGATTTACAATTTATCTCATTGTGTTTACATGGAAAATAAACTCTAAGAACAATTAGCTGTATATTAAAAGCATGTTTTTGTTTATACTTACGTTGGACTATAAGATAGACCAATACCACAGAGTAGGCCGCAATACTCATGGTTTACACTATGTACCTCGTCAAGCAACGCAGGTGATGTTGCTGATTCTCCCAGGCTGCTAATGAATGAACGGGATCAATATTTGTGAATGGAGCATTGGCTTGTCAATGGAAACTGATTGGTTAGAAGAACACGTTGGCTGCGTCGACTAATTCACCGGTTAGAAATAATGGCTTAAGCATTTTTGGAATAAATTAGGCTCACACTAATGAAAAAAACAACATTTCTTTATACTAAATCAAATAGAAAATACGAATTTTAGCGTGGAAGTTGCGAATGATTCATTGATTAGAATATCGACTAATAATTTTAAAACAAATTAAGCTTGTACTGAAGAAAAAAATAATTGTTTTACGAAACTGAAAATACGAATGTGTGTATTTTGTATTTAATTAAGATTTTAGTATTAGAATAAAAGAAATTTAGTATAACGCAGGTAGTATTGTTATACATAAAGTGTGCTTTCAACGCCAAAGCTAGAAAGGTACATAATAACGGCATTTTATAGACAAAATAGTTTAGACAGACGGGATCCGAACCCACCACTTTACACTACACATAGTCGCTCACCTAAATGCATACGTTCTGAACTGCAAAGAGCTGTCGATAAATAGTATCACAGACTCTTGACGATGTATATTCATTCTCCATTAATATCACCTTAGCCTTAAAATGGCGATTCATAACACCTAAACCTAGGTTTTAAAATTAGATTAAAAATAATTTAGCTTAATTATCTTTCAAAGTGTCAAGTCAGATTTTCTAAATTCCTTCGTCGCAAAAGAAACTACCCACACCTTTTAAGACGTACGGCACTAGTATTGTACGACCTAAACAATGGCCTAATTGCCTAGATACAATTGAAATTGCTCTACGTTTAAAGCGATATACAGCATATTATAGTTTCAGTAAGGGACGGTGGATAAAAGTAAAGTTTCCCTTTCAAACTGACGGTCTATAGGGCTAGTGAAGTAGAGTTCACTTGTTTCTGTGACCTCGGCATTTAAAGAGATAGTGTGGTCAGCGCCATGCTCAGCCGCCTTTACTCTCCCTAACGTGAGTACCCTTCAGAGTTAGGTGGACTCAGGGACGATCTACTGATTTGAACCCGGATTCGAACTCGAGACTTACGAGTTAATAGTCCAGCTCTGTACCGCTATACCACTCCGTCCTGGACGGTGGATAGTTGTAGGCTAACCGAGAGTCTCGAGGTCGAATCCGGGTTCAAGTCACTACAACGTCCTTGAATTTACCCTGCTCTAATAGGTACACAACCCACGTTAGGGAAACAAAGGCAGTTGGGCATAACGTTGACCGCATTATAACTTCATATGCCGAAGTCTCTTCTTCTTCTTCTTCTTCGTTCTTAATTATTAGTGATGAAGGGGATCGAGATTTATCTGCCAGTGGGTTTGAACTCGAGGCTTTTGTTCGAATTTATCAACCATGAGCTTTTTGCCGACTCGACCACGCCTCCAACACAATTAAGCGTTACGTGTCAACTGGTTATGCGCCATTGAGGCCATTGACTCCGATTTCAGCCTGCTTTTCTTTTTGGATTTGCTTCCATAGCCTTTGTCCAACCAAGAACAAACTACAAGGCAGCAGTTGTTTTTAATTTTGGAGTTGTCTCTCCTAGAAGAGTGGCTGTCCCCAGCTAACGAGCCTCATCTGCCCGAGGGTTCGAACTCGAGACTTTTCGGTCTAGCAACCATGAGCTTTACCGTCTCGACCACACCGACCCCCCGAAGTCTCTGAAGCAGATGAATTCGACTTTCAGATAATCTAGGCCTCAAATGCTGACGTACCCCCACCGTGCTCAGATAGTGACTACAACAAAGATGGGGGCATCCTACAGACTGGAGCTAGAGATTCGAATTCGAGACTTCCAGTTAAGTAGTCGTAAGCTCTATCATCCGACAACGTCGTCCCATATGCCATCTGTCTAGTATAAAACGTTAGAGTTAAAAAATCTGTGTCTTAAATTACAAGCAAATATCTTTGTTGATGATTTGTGTAATCGCCCACTATACTGTTATGTTGAGGTACCTGAGTTTTCTGACAGTAGTTATGTGGTAACATCATTCTATTGTTATGCTACACATTTATTTGTTACGTCTGCCTCACACAAAACAGGTTATAATATTTAATTTAAACACAACTATTGATTGGAAATATTGGAAACGGAGCAAATGTAAAAGCGAATACATGCATAAATATTTACATATACAATTCTTCACGACATGAAAAATATCAATATTAAAATCAGTTTTGACATTCTGTCTTTGTGAATAATTGACGGTACCGTCGTAGTTTTGCAGGGTCCAACATTGAAATGCTTTCTGGGTTGTAGATTGCAAGGCATGCTTAGAGTAAAAGAACTGGCTCAAATGCGAGCCTTCGTTCAAGTTCACAGCACTGAGACGTTCGATTTGAAATGGTGGAGCTTACGCTTCAATACGCATGCTTTGTCACAATAAGGTTAACGTTGTTTGAAAGCTTTAGAAGTGAGATAAAGTAGCATTGAGAGTCCTCTTAGTGTTTATTTACATTTTTCTACAACCGAAAGGGTTAAGATTTTATTGAGTTGAATTGAATTTTACAAACTGCTCTTTTTTATTAGAAAACACATTCATTCAGGCGATATGTTCTTAGAATGTGCCGCTTTCTGAGAATATGATTAAAATGAGAAGAATCTTAAGACTTTAGAGGGACCGAAAATAGAGTAAAGTGCAACTCCGGTTTACCGTTAAGCGTCCAAATATGTATATAAACCTACGTAAGGGATCTAATACACTGTATATTTGGAGTGCGGTCAAAACAACTTGGCCATGAGCTCCCTGGACATAAACCCCCGACATAAACCCCCGACATAAACCCTCGACATAAACCCCCGACATAAACCCCCGACATAAACACCCGACATAAACCCCCGACATAAACCCCCGACATAAACCCCCGACATAAACCCCCGACATAAACCCCCGACATAAACCCCCGACATAAACCCCCGACATAAACCCCCGACATAAACCCCCGACATAAACCCCCGACATAAACCCCCGACATAAACCCCCGACATAAACCCCCGACATAAACCCCCGACATAAACCCCCGACATAAACCCCCTGGATAAAAATCCCCCCCCCCCCCAATGGTGGTTTATTATAATTTTAAAAAGAGAGATTGTAAGCGATTATCGCAAATACTAAATAATGGTGGGCTCATTAAAGTCAGTCAAAGAATTTCAAAATATCTGGGTGGCATATCCCATATTCGACTGGAAACCTTTGTGCCAGCCTTCAACTGAGTTGTTTGTTTTCGGCCTATGGTCTTCTGCACGCGTGTGCATGTTCCACAAATGAAGTGGAAACATAGCTTGTCTCCAACCTCGACGGTGTGGTCTGTTAATATGGCAGTCTTATATATAACCAAGGTCACTCCATGAATTTCGAATAGAATTCCTTTAGGTAGAAACTGTTTTA